GACGTAGTTTCGGGCGATGTTTATCAAGCTTCGCAAGCCAGCAGCTAGCGCACGCCCTATGAACATGGCAAGGTATAGCCAGTACCTCTGCAGTACCGTTGCCAGACCTGCAGCCGCGTGGCCAATCGAGTGTGCGCATGCTTGCGCATCGCAGCTTCTCGAGCGCCGAGTGTCCCTACCAACATCCAGTTCACGTCATGCCGCTGCCTGCGTCCGCCAGATGGCTGCAGATTGCTTAGCACAAGCAGCACTTGCGGCGGTCTGCCATCATCTCATTTTGCATGCAAGGCCTGAGCACCTTTGATCCTGCACGGAAGACAGCTGGAAGGCAGTTTTGGACTGTATTCATCAAGCGTTACAAGTTAGCCACCAGCCGGCGCTCTATGGACAAAGCAAGGCATATTCAGCACCTATGCGCTCTAATTGCAAGACCTGCAGTCAGTTGGTCAGCGGAGTGCCTGCACGCTTTCGAGCCGCAGCTTCTCGAGCGCCGAGTATCCCTATCAGCATCCAGTTCACATGGTGCGGCTGCCTACGTCCGGCAGATGACTGTTCACGCTTTCGGGCAAGCACCACTTGCATCTAGGTGCTGAGTATATTCGATCATGGCCTGCTGGCACACGCAAGGCCTGTGCAGCTTTGATCCTGCATAGAAAACAGCCGGGACGCAGTTTCGGGCGATGTTTATCAAGCTTCGCAAGCCAGCAGCTAGCGCACGCCCTATGAACATGGCAAGGTATAGCCAGTACCTCTGCAGTACAGTTGCCAGACCTGCAGCCGCGTGGCCAATCGAGTGTGCGCATGCTTGCGCATCGCAGCTTCTCGAGCACCGAGTGTCCCTACCAACATCCAGTTCACGTCATGCCACTGCCTGCGTCCGCCAGATGGCTGCAGATTGCTTAGCACAAGCAGCACTTGCGGCGGTCTGCCATCATCTCATTTTGCATGCACGGCAACAAACTTGCAGTCTTCATTCCCACCTCCAAGCTGTTAGTGCAGATACCAAGCATTTCCCTTCGTTTGCACGGGGTTCAGAGCGGAAACCTTGCCGACTGCGACGCAAAGCATGGCCTGGCCTTGCCGAAGCCTCCAAGCCTCAATGGCGCAGCAATGTTGCAGTCCTTCGCCGTACTGTACGGCGCTCGTGTAGACGGCTGGCAAAAAGAGCTAGAGCTGCCTGTTTGGGCTAATCGATTGACCTACTCACCTGCTCCTTGTGGGCTGCAAGAACAGTCGTTCATGTTTAAATTTTCTGGTTTATCCAGTGTTCTTCTGCCCTCTGCCTGTCTACCTTGGTTGTTCTTTTTGTTTGCTTTTCTCTACTCTGCGATCCACATATTGATCTGGATCTTGACCGTCAACATTCTCAAACACTTCACGAACAATTTGATGAGGTAGGATTGTTTGGGGTGTCGGCTCGTCGACCTGTGCTGTGAAACTCACAGCGCAACTGTCAATCAGAGCAGGTCTGGAAATGCAGTTGATTTACCACATCATGTGTTCAGACCTTTACTTGCGGTATGTCATTCTCCATAGCTTTCACCGTATACGGGTCAGTATATGAAGAGTGATGCTGACCACTAAGCATGGAGTTGGCAGCATTTGGTTTCGGAGTCAACTTCACAATCTCGTTGACGAACTCAGTCAGATGCCACGTGAATACGATGTCTTGTGTTGCTCTGCATACACACAAAGCTTCAGCCACAAGGAGTAGAACATGGCACATTAGCGGCATCTCACCAAATTGTTTTATGCAGCAGAAGCAACGGGTAATGGAACAGCATTGATTTTGATGACGGCCGTTGCCAGCCTTCTTTCCGCATTCTGTTTGAAGGGCTGCTGTCTAGTAGTTTCAGTTGCAATGTTGTGATTCAGAGACATTATCCTCAGATGTCAACCAATTCAATACTTTCACCACGCAAGTTTCGTGCCTGGATTCCTCCAAGAGCTTCGCAGTAGCATTCGGTGCCGTGGAGACCTTTCAGCAGATTGTGTGTCTTTAAGCATTGACCATGTACGCTGTACAATTTTTAGATTTTGGCCGCTGTGGTTAGTTCTTGGTTGAGAGAGCAGATGACGCTCTCTAAAGAGCTTGGTGTTGTACTCTTGGAAGGATAGGGATCAATATATACATTTCTCACATTTTTGAACCAGTAATTCAGGCCAAGTCTTGTCTATTCGCTCGCTGCAGTACTCATGCATGTAACTTAGTATCCTCAAGACCGCGGATGGCTGATGTCTTTCACGGACTTGCAGCGGGCATCATACACCGGTCGCTTGGTGTAAAATTGGGGGCGGCAACTGCACAAGATGTTGGAATGTCCTTCAAGCGGGTGCTGTCAGACCTGGGCAGGAGATGTTGTGACAGTTCGTGGTCTCCTGGCAAAGCGTGCAGCAGTTCACGAGCGGGGTGATGCAGGCATTGAGACACTTGTTGTGGCAGTGTTGAGCTAGACCAGGAACCTGGTAGAGGGGAAGCATCAGGCCGTAGTTTCGGCTCATCACTGTCATCGGCTTCGTACCATTACGCCATCGGCCTGGACGCATTTGGAACCCTGTGCTCGACACGAACTTGAAACCAAGATTATCGAAACCGGCATTTGGATTGGAGGCGTCGTCTTGCAAGCTTAACGCGCTGTGCTACTGCTGACGGTGGCGGGTGCAATTTGTCTGACAAACGATGTAGGCTCTGTAGTTGGGGGGGGGTGTCAGTGGTCAGCCTGAGCCCCGATGGAACATGGGAAATCATGGGAATGCGTCGGCACTAGCGCCGGGTTCCTGGATGGATTCAAAGGGTAAGTACTTTTCAGTGCAGTCAATAGCCCAACCCTGCACAATGACACAACCGACATAATGATAGTGCAGGCGAACGGGTGGAATGGCTAGCCAAGCCTGCGATGTGACGTCAACAAGTGTTTTCATCCCATCCAAGCCTTTGGGACCTCCAGAGGCTTCAAGACTATATATACATATACAAATGAGAGGAACACACATTTGGCATTCTTGACGTTTGGGGTTCCAGCAGAGTGGATGTATCAACTACGGCGCACGCCTCGCGGCTAGATTCAAACTAGCTAGAATTCCAGCTTTGACCGAAGAGCCGTGTCTCAAGGCTTCAGTGGACTTAGCAACCCTCAGCGTTCATCGCTCTCATGACTTTGTCTTCCAAGGTGTTCTGAAGGGTTGGAAGTACCATTGTCTACTGTTAAAAATGCACACCAGGAAGCTCTGCAAAATAAAGCGAGCGATGGCTAGAAGCGTCATTCTGACCAGCGTAAGCTCTTGATATCACTACACCTCAGTTTTGAAAGGTAGCTGGACGGCACTGCACATTGCTGCAGCTCAAGGGCACTTGAGTGACGTGGCTGCAAAGGCAAAGAATGACATGTTCTCTCAGTGATGCTCACTTTTGCGGTGCTTTAGTGAAGAGGTTGAGTTTCACGAAGGTGTGGTCGAAGCACTTCTAGCCGGCAATGTCCGATACCCAGCTAAAAAGGCATGAGCTTCAGCTTTGTCCTGCGCCAGGGTGAAGTCATACCCACTTCTTCGATTCATGGTGACAGTACTGGGGCTGGTCTGGTAATACTCAAGCCAGCAGCAGTCCAGGTGTAGCCGTTTAACCGGGTAACTGGAGGCGCTGACTTAGCAATTGTTTTGCTGATTGTTTTCTATGGGACGAGCGGCTGGCTAAAAGGTCATTTCCAAAGTTTGAGGTCTAAGCCAGCTGGCCATCCATGTCGTCACAAAAGCAGCACAGCGCAAGGCATTAAGCCCAGCATGCGCACGCACAAATCACAAATGGCGTTCGACTGTTGCTTTGCATATGTTTGTAGCTTGTGCCCCCCTAATAGCAACTGACAAGCTGCCGTGACATGAGTGTTGCCAACAAGTTGGCCCACTTGTTTACACAGAGTGCAACATAAGAAGCACAGATCGGATGTCGTGCTGCTAAAACGTTGCAGAACGAATCCTGGTCCTAGAACATTTTCAGCATATCGTTTACGCGCCAAGGCCGAGGTTTGCAGTTTGGACGGTGATGGTCGATCAGCGCTGGAATGGGCAGCACAGGACTTAGCTTAAAACACTGGACAGAATAGATGGGCAGCTTACTGTAGAGTGTAGGGCCACCAAGTAACTAAGGAGTGGCGTGGTCGTGGCCACATCGTCCAAGTGCTGCAGCGTCATGAGCGCCTACAGCGCATGTTGGATCAACAACGTGCTGCGGCACAGTCTGACATGTTCCGCAGAAGCAATTGGCCTGCGCAGTGGAAGCAGATGTGTGATTTTTGCAGTGTTTGTGGTTTGGTGACTACTGTTGGCGGGGCATGTTAAGTAATACTTTTAGCACAACCAACCAGCGTATTCACGCTTCAACGGCGAAACCTCACAACTTGAACATCCTAGCAATATTGTTGCCAACACCGGCTCTTGGAGAAGAGATGTGCAGGCAAGTTAGCAGCCACACATGCCCATATATACCGCTGCATCAAAGCCAACCTCACAAGTTGTTCACTGAGCTTGCGGGTCTTTGTAGCCACGCTTATCAAAGACATGCCCCAAATGTGTGTGAGTGCTTGCATGAATTTTGATGGTGCGTGTGGTCATAAGCACGTCTTCGATGAATTGCTTTCAGGGCCGATGGAGAGCATTACCAATGATTTTGTCAAGGATGTGCGGCTTGCCATTGCCAGCTGAGGACTTCCAAAATGTTCGCAGCTGAATCCAGACTGGCTCATTTAGGCCACGAAGTGGCCATGGCTTCGTACGCATCTCCAAGGCCAGGCCAAAAGCCCGCTGAACCAAACAATCAGGTTCACGCAACCTGGCGGCACCTCACTGATATTTTTGGCAGCCATGGGAGTTAGAGCCCTGTAAACATGTCAGTATGCTTCGAGGCAAGTATGGAGTTTGGTCTGCTGCCAGATGTGGAGGACTCTGGGCAGTGCTGGGTATTAATCTGGGTACAGGTTGGGCTACCACTCTTTCACTTGTTGTGAAAGGACTCTGAAGCAGCGCGGCATACGGAAGGTGATGTCGAAGAAAGCTTTGCGAGAGGCTTGTGCGGGGTCAGCCAATGGCTGGGTCACCTAATTGGACATGCAACGCGTGAATCACACATTGCAGGTCTGGAGACTGTGATAGAGCAATTGCAGCAACAAAATGCGCTTATGGAAGAGAAGCTGATGTCGAAAGCGGAGGTGGAAGACAGTCAGGCTCTCAGACTAAAATCATTGAACAGCGCACGTTTGATCTGTAATCATGCTTGTTTTGAGGTTTGCAGAAAGCAGAGTGTGCCGCAATTGCACGTATGGAAGACGAAGACAAGGCACTGAGGCAAAGCACTGCACGCTGCTGGGTTTGAACAGCTCTGGACGGGTAGGATTGTAAAGACTTTGAGCTCGTTCTCCGAGGTTTGCGCCAGTTGGAAGACGAACAGATCGGGTGCGAGGATAAGCTGGCACGAGAGAGGGAAACGTTTCAAGAGTGTGAAGACAGTTGCCAACCTGCAAAGCTTCATTGCGGGAAGGGCTTGAGTCTGTACACGTGCTTTTTGAGCCTCAGATGTGCTGAGGTTTTCGTGCACAATTGGCTCACCATGAGCAGCAACTGGAGAAACTCCGCTCGGATGGCAGTGGAGGCTTTCTGGTAGCTGTTCAGCTGAAGCAGGTATGGGACCTGATGCAATCCTTGCAGGGAATGAGGCAGAAGACAGACTGCGCAGGGAACGTCACCAGCGCATGGAGATGGAAGAGCGTTGACTCCTTAGCTGCCGAAAGGGTTTTCGTAGAATGTCTGGTTAGCACCACCTGCAGACTTTCCAAACCAACACATCTTGTGGTGCTTTCGCAAGCTGCAGTCTTGTATTCCCATCAACGTGTTTTTTCTAGCGTGGTGCTGCTTCTTCAGCACTTCCCGTGCCGTTTTTTCTCGTTGCAGGTGAGAGCATGCATCCACGTTGAACTGCTCCTTCCCAATTCGTCGGCCTCGCCCGTCCCTCCCCACAGAGTTGCCTGAAGAGGAGATACGAAATCAGCGGCCTAAATGACCCCCAGCTGAGGCCTCATGCAGCCCGCCCCTCTTTATACCACAAGTATTTCTGGGGCCTTTGCCATGGGTCATGGTTGGAACGCAACGAGAGCGTGGCCGGGATTCGCTACAAAAAATCTCGAAGCAGGTGCTGGCACATCGTTTGTACTTGCCAAAAGCCTGGTGAGGAAGGAAGGCAGCTTCCGCACATTCCTTCGCAGCAGGTGGAAAGAGAGGCTGTCGCAATGTATCAGGCCAACGATCGTCATTGACCAAACGAGTTTAAAGATAAAACCGCCTGCGCCAAATCTTGCTCACGTCAAGCGTGAAACCTTTTCTACATCTTGCCCACAACCCCATAGGGCACGCAAGGGGGGGACGACAACCAACCGATAAAGGCCGCTCTTCACTTCGACCAACAAGTGCCCAAGTCCAGGTCTGCGGCACTGCCTGCGGAAACGGGTGGCGCTCGATTTCCAATCTAAACCGGGCCAAGCCAAGCAGAAGACCTGCGTAAGACCTTCCCGTTAAGTCTTTGGTTTTCTGGCCAGTTGCCACTAATCAGCGGGCGTGAGGTCGCGCGATCTTGCTCCCCAGATCGATTAGCAACAAGTTTGCGCCTGCCTTGCGCCATTGCCTTCTCCGCATCGTGCCGCCTCATCCTTTCGCCATGGTGCCACTGTCGCGCACTGCCCGTTTGGGCATGTTTTTGCGACACACACCGTGGCTGGTTTGCAGGGTCGGCAATATCACGTGGTCGCGATACGGAAGATTGTGTGCTCCTTTCGTACGCGGCTGATCTCCAACTCCGGGCCGGAGCCCAACACGAGTTGGCCAGATGTGGAACTAGCCGAAAGCAATCAAAGAGACCAGGCGATAATTTGCGACAAGCAGAATCGCCTTTTCTTGAAGATGGCAGTCCCCCACGGAGCCGGGACATTCCCTTGTTCCCAAATACGAAAATATACCAAAGTTTCCCTGTGGCATGTGCCTGTTCTGTGCGTATGCATCAGTCCCCCCAACTGATTGATGAGATGTTACGGGGTGAAGGTAATCGGGTTCCCACCTGTTCGAAATAGGTCCACGGAAACACATTTTGGGATGGTGGGTCCAAGCATCGTAAAAGAGGTCCTGATTAGCATGTTGGCAATCACGTGCAGGCCACAACATGCATGTAGTGTAGCCAGGCCCTTCAAAAACTAGTGTGAGTGGTACTTGCTCTTGGTTTGTTGTTCCCTCAACAACATGCAGTAAGAGGCAGATGGTGGGTGACTTGCAAACCACCTTATGCTGAAAGAGGCCTCGCGTGCCATTACTGCCATGGTTCGCGTTTCTGAGGCATCCCGGCAACGGAATCAATTGCCTCGAGTTTCCAGTAGCATAAAGTTCTGCCAGAAACAGCAGCGTCCGCCCCAAACTGCTTCACAATCATTCAGCAAAAGGTCGCTCATGGTCATGGGTCATCGAGTTTCCCCCTCCAGCAGTGCTGACCAGCGAGTAGCGAACGAAGATCCCAGGGGTTGGCCCTCCCGCGGGCAGCTGGGGATGAAACAAACATTGAAGTCACACTGGTGGCGGCCCACCTGCCCGACATGCACACGCAGCCGGCCCACGTATATAAGTGGTTGTCATTTGTTTCAGTGTTTGTCATGTCAACCAATTGCGTGGACTCTGGGCGAATCGTGAATCGTGGCAACAGCGACGTGTCCCCATCTGGGTTGCCCCATGTCATTTTGACCGGGCACCCACTAATAAACCCGCAGTCCGCATGTTGGCAATTGGCGAAATCATTGTTCGGGCGTATCACGTCTGACAATGTTGAGTGTTTGGAGCAAGTACTTGTGCGGCATCATCTGAACCGCAGCTACCGAGCTGCGCAGGCTGGGTGGGAAACGGTGGGTATGTTTTCTGAGCAAGCGCCTACGTCTGATGGGACCGGAGTGAATCCCGTGCCGACTTTGCCGGAGGCTTCTGCTGAGCTTGAGCGCCAGAACGCTGCGGAGGTGATTGTGGATGTTGCTACTGCTAGTGATGGTGAATCTGCCAATGCTGGCACGCACGACTTCGTCCCCTGTTGCGCTGCCATCTTCTGTGACCTTGCTGCCTCCCTCTGGTCATCTTGAGCCTGGCAATGAGCATCCTGCTGAGCCGCCAGCCACTCTGACTTCGTCGCCAGCCTCTGCTGTGCCTGAGCCCAGAAAAAAAATGATGTGATTGCGGCACTGATGAACACTGAAGCCTCCGCCGTGTCGTCTGACAATACTACATGGCGTGATGGATAACCGTGATGAGGAGCAAATGAGTGCACCGGCCGTCAGAGCTGCACCTTGGCGCGGATCTTTCTGGTGACCTTTGAGCTTGTTCATGCATTGTGTCTGACTCAGGCCAGACCACTTTGCGGCTTGCCCCCATACGGGTTTGCTGGCAGACCGGGGCTTCGTCCTCGAGCGGGCATGGGTCCAGGTGCTGCGAGAAGCCGTCGGGCCTGAAGGACGCGCAATACGACTGTTCGAGGGGTTGCCGCTGACGACCGAAAGCGCCTCGACTTTGTGGTCTATGGTGCTACGCCCACCGGGGAGGCATTGTGTTGTGATGCCACGCTCGTCTCCCCTCTCACCCGAGCAGGTCAGCCAAGTTCTGGGTCGGCCAATCGGGATGGCGCCATGCTAGAGGTTGCGTGCCGACGCAAGGTCGCGCGCTACCCGGAGCTGTGCCGGGGGGGACCGCAATGTTTGTGCTTCCTTGCAATCGAGGTCGGCGGCCGATGGAACGAGGATTTGCTGCGGCTCGTGAAGCGCCTCGTTTGCTTGCGCAAAAGGCGCGCGCCTTCCGCTTTGCGTGCTTCAGCGGCGCAGGGCTGGGCATGGCGGTGGTGGGGTTCTCCCTCTGCCTGTCCACCGAGCAGTCGGGAGCGCTGCTCTGGGCGAGTGGGCCATGCCCAGCTTGCCAGCAGATGGGGATGACGTCCCTCTTGCCGACTTGCTCCAACTCGCGGATCCGGCGCCTCCCAGTCGGCTGCCTCCGTGAGAGCGATTGCTGAGGCACTTGCATTCCAGCTGCCCGGCGACATACCGCAGAGGGTTGTAGTGGGTGCACTGGGATCGCGTTGCCGGTCTTAAAATGGTCTGCCGAGGAAAAGAAATAGGGGGAAAAAAACCACAAGTGAAACGCACCCATTTGCAACGCATGGCCTAAAAACCCTAAACCCCATTTGCAGAAAAAGAAAAAAACGTTGATGAAGATCAGAACACACAAGCTTCTTGCAAGCGTTGACATCCCACATCATCGCTTTCAGTCCGGATGTGCCACTTGCACTCTCCCGCGAGATCCTCATCTCGAACCTCCGGCGATCCCGCCGCTGAGCGGCCCCAGGCCCCTCAGGCTACACTGTTGAGATGCTCCGCCATTTGCTGGACGATGCTGGACGACCATGCGGTTTTGGAAGCATTGCATGCCGTTGCCAACCTGCTCACCCGTGCCCAGCTGCCAACCGCCCCTCGGCACGGACGAAATCGTTCTTGCGTATCCCCAAACTCTTTCCGCGCAACATCGTGCTCTCCTCGAGGCTTTTCTTGCTATCCTAGACCTCCAAGTCGCGTGGCTCCCGCTGTTGTACTGTGCTAGCCCCAGGAACCAGCATGCTGTCAGGGCATTGCCGCTGGCCCTCACTGCAGCCTTCGCCTGCGCGCACGACCGCAGCGTCCTGCGCTGCAAGCGGCCTGGGTCGCGCGATGGGCGGCGCTGCTCGCAATCGCAGCCCAGCGGGCATACGCGAGCTCCCTGCTGGAGCTCCCACTTGCTGGGGAGGTCAACGGCGATGAAGCCATGCCTGACCTACCGGAGCTGCATCCTGGCCAGTCGCCTCACGGCCCGGCCGCTGTAGGCGCCTGCCAACGGTTCAACGGCCGCCTCTGCGTAGGGCTTGCCATTCCCTCTGACTGGATTCCCACAATGCAGGCGTAAAAAAACGAAAAAAAAAAGGAATCCTGCTATGAAACATCCTAACATTTCATCACACATCAGCCATCTACACCCCCCCACCCCCTTAAAGCAAAAAAATCAAAGCCATATAGAGCCATGGAAGCTCCAAACATTTTTTCAAACATCAGCCATCCAAACCCCCCCACCCCCTTACAGCGAACAAAGGGACTACTCCTGCACTTGCCACACAACACCCAGCCCGGACAGCCCGGACAGCTACCCCAGACTTCCATCTGGGCCACATGTCCGGGCCGTCCGGGCCACATGTTCCATGTCCGGGCCACATGTCCGGGCTGTCCAGGCCACATGTCCGGGCCACATGTCCGGGCCGTCCGGGCCACATGTCCGGGCCGTCCGGGCCATCCGGGCCACATGTCCAGGCTGTCCGGGCCACATGGCCACATGTCCGGGCCGTCCGGGCCGCATGTCCGGGCTGTCCGGGCTGTCCGGGCCATACGTTCGGGTTGTCCAGGCCACATGTCCGGGCTGTCCGGGGCACATGTCAAAGTCTGGGCTGTCCGGGCCAAAGTCCGGACCGTCCGGGCCACATGTCCGGGCTGTTGGGGGCCGGGCTAACGTCCTGGGCATCCGGGTCGGGGGGACCAAAATGACCCCCTTACCCTCCTCCGCCTGTGCCCGGGTGAAATTTTCATGTCCGATCGGGCGCAACAAACCCGCGCTTGGCAAGCGGCTTGTCGCCGCGCCACACTTCTGCTCCGAGATGAAGGATTCCAGGTGGCGCTTCACCTCCGGCATCCTCCGGCATGGAAAGCCCGGGTTTTGCCGAGGTTGGCGGAGACGCCGGCACCTTGTTCAACCTCCCTCGACACAATGTCGCAGGCCTCGCGGGCGCGTGCAGGGCAGGTTACGACATACAAATCGTCAAGGAATGCCGCCAAGACTTCCCCAGGCTGAAGGCGGGCGTGGGCTGTGGCGAGTGAGTCGTGTTGACCTGGGGCGAAAAATGCCGGGGCCAAAGGGTCGCCTTGTTCGATGCCTTCAGCCTGGCGGACGTGGTGCACGCTCCCCGCGTCGTGGTGTGCTCTCACGCGCGACAGACGGCGCCACTTGCCAAAGGTTGCCGAGCACGGCCGCGCGACTGATGGAGCCATAAGCACTGCGTCCATCAAAGGACACAACTGTGGTGGTGGGGTTCAGTTCGAGCGCTGCCTTCAGGATGCCGGCCAAGCAGTCGGTACCTGCCCGCGTTTGCAATGCAAACTGGTAAGGGCGTGCGGCGGCATCAAAAACGTCAGCGTAGACCCGCGCCAACACCCGTGGACACCAAGCGCCGAAAGACATCTCCTGTCGCTATGCCTCTCATTCCGCTGTGCGGTTGACGGCTCCGGTCAAGAGGTCGAGGGCAACATCATCGTCAAGGAAAAACTTGTAAATCTCAAACGTGGCGCCGGACAGACCTGCAGCACTCCCGTGCTTGTAACTGCGCAGGGCTTCCGCAACCTGGCCAACAGTCAGGGCAACGGCTTCGTTTGGGCTATGCAAAAGCACCTCATTGGGGATGTCTCGCAATCTTGCCGTTGGCCGCCGCTCCAGGCCAGTGAGCGCCCGCCAGGTGGTTGCATCGCCAGGCGCGAGGGCTGCAGCCGTCAATACATGGCGTGCCCGGGAAAATTTGCCCCGCCTAACGAGTGTGCGCGCGCGGGCCGCGCAGGCCTCGCCGGTGTCGTTGGGCCGTTCGGGCTGAGGAAGCACTTGCCGGTCAGCGGCTCGGCCGCTTAGCCTGTGGAGCTCAGCCCAGCTTCCTCGCCAAAAGAGCTCGAGCCGATGCAGCAACTCTGTTCGTCCCTGCGCGCCAGTGGCGTCGCTGCGCGTGAGAAGGGATCCCGGCAGCAGGAGGAACAGTTTGAACGCGCGCAAGCAGCTTGGCGGGCTCCGCGCATCAGCGATGGCAGTGAGGGCAGCGGCTAATGCGCGCCTCACGCCAGGCGTTAGGAAGCGTGCGACAGACTGCAGCGTTGGGAGCCGCACTTGGAACTCGTTTCGCAGATGGACATCATCCAGCCACGCCCATGCGCCCATGCAGCAAGCGGGAACGAAGTTCCGGTTGATTGTGCCTGTGGCAACGGGGATTCTTCCTGTTCCCTATTGTCGCCATCAGCGTGCCGTGCAGCCCCGTCTGCAGCATCGGACCTTTTTGCAACTTGTCCAGCGCGGTCCCCGTGCAAGGCCCAAATCCAAATCACACGAAAGTCCAAGGCTTGCAGCATAGACCGAATCCAGGGCACAGAAGTCCTAGGCGGGCAGTTGAGGAAGCGATCCTCGTTGAGAAGGTCGCTGAGCTCGGGCGGTGGCCCATCGACGTTTGCCGCGCAAAGCATAATGCAGCAGGAGACACAGCAGCGTCGCGGCGAAGGCCTTGGCAGCGGCGAACGCATGGAGGGCTGCCCATCGCCGGACACATGCTGCGACACAGGCGCCACGCAGCAACGGAGGCGCAGAACGCGCACGGCACCGCGCGAGGAGCCGGATAAATTGAGCAGCCGTGGCATGCAGTAGTTCGGGGTAGGTGCGCTCCTTCGCTCGGCGTGCGATACGGGCGCTGCGCGCATGGGTGCGAGGGCGCAGTTGTCGAGTGCAGCCACCAAGGTTGTGTCGACGGCAAGCTGCACACCGCCCCACAGTGGCAAGCCATTGGCGATGACCTCAAGACGACGGTCATGGTGGGCAGCAACAACATTGAGGTCGCGGAGCAGGATGTTGATGGCAACAGTTGCACCTGCTTCACGGCAGACTCCGGCGGCCGCCCGCTCGATGGGGACGCCCCTGGGGCGCAGAAGTCCAGTGCGGGGGCAGGAGGCGCGGTGGTCGCCATACAAGTCCAGGGTCCAGGCGCGCCCGGCAGCGGCACATGGCCAAGTCGAAAGGGAGCGGCGGGCGGAGGCGAACACCAATACCCGGAAAGGCGCCGAGTCCAAGCGGAGCTCCGGGCTGGTTGGGCAAGCTGTGAGAGGTGCAGCTTTCGGGAGCAAAGGCGTAGTCAAGCCCAAAGCATCCCAAAGCGTTGTCTTTTGGCATCTTCCATTTTCTGCCACGGGTTTTTGGGGAACAGTGTTCAATCATGTCTTGTGGCTGGCTCCTGGTTCTTTTGCTCAGGGGTCAAGGCGGCCATGGCACAAAATCTGCCCACCCAGAGGTGGAATGTCCTCACGAAAGGAGGGGCCAGATGCGTGCCCACCCCAAAATACCCACCCTCGGCTTCGGAGCTTGTTGCCTTGAGTCACCGGTGGAGGAACGAAACAAACATGTACACAGAGACAATCAAAAAGCACCCGCTTCACAATTGGAAAGCCTACGCGTAAACAAAACAAACTCGCAAATGAACGCGCTTTTCATTGGTCTATAGCTAGTTGGCTTGCGAGTTCTGGGCCCACCGTTGGGGTTGATTAGGTATTTCCGCAAAATGATGTTGAGATATGTTGATGCATTGGGTTTCTGGGAACGTGGGTCATGGCTACCATCTCGAGTTTATGCATTGAAGAATGCATGTGACTACGTTTCCCGTTTTTAAAAATTTTGCATCCACCTTGCTTGGGACGAAGTCACGTTCATCCAAAGCCATCCAACGCCCCTCCTTGCTTTCTCAGCAGCCCCTTTTCTCAGCGTTGCCACCCTTTAAAGCGAGCTCCTACTGGCACATGCCGGGCTAGGCCTGGACATTTTGCAAAACGTGCTTATGCATGTATTGAGTTTGGCAG